CATTCTTTTTATTATTTTTATAGTTCAAATATGAGATCGTTTTTTTGAAATTTATGATTTGAAAATATGAGAAGTTATAGACATGCTTATGGAAAATATCGAAAATTTTAATCGTCTTAGTTTTGAGTTAAAATCATTTGAATTTTGATAATTCGCTTTTCTCATATTTGCTTGGCTTGCTAGTAACACTTTTGAGTCTTGACATCTAAATATATGCATTTAAATTTTGAAAGTCTTTGAAATTTTGCAATTTTTAAGATATTAGCTAGAAGGTAAAAAGACATGCAGGAAATTTTGATATAAATACTATTTGTTTTTCTCCGTGGTCAAATCCTAGAAAACCAAGGCAAACATCTGCATTTTATTAATATAATTTTGCCAAATTATTTTCTTTTCGAATAAACTTATCCATAGTCCACCTCGAATAAAAGTAGGCACAGTATTTTTAAGATTAGTTTTTTTTATAATAGAGGTACATTTTGCTAAAATATATCTAACTTTATATAATTTTTTATGCTGAATATGAATATATTATCTAATTTGTTCTTTGAATGAACTGTAATTGTGGAAATTACTGAAAGCGTACACTATTTTTCATCATTTGCATATTGACGCAAGAAAAAAAAATTCCTTTTAAAGTGTAGAACGTCGGAATTCAAAATACTCATTTCTTCTTATGAAAAATTAAATAGATTAATCAAAATGAATATAACTATATTCTCTGAAAATTTTAGATCATCCCAATTTAATCTTACTTTTCCAGTTTTAGAAAGCATGCAGTAAAAATAAATAGTATGCTAATACTAAGTTTTTGATACTGATCATAAACACAAAGTTATTTCTAGAATGGCCAGTCAAAATGGTTATTGAGAATATCAAACTACCCTAAGTGTGATCCTTACCAAAGACTCCTGCATACCATTTTGTTCTTTAAGTAATCAACAAAAAATGCAGAGTTTCAAGCACTTCTACATTTTGGAAGACCATAAATCAATTAGGTTAGAAGCAAAACATTGCTAAAATAGTCATCATAAGTCATAGACTTTCGTTGTGAAAGCGCAGTAATATGACTCATTTTCTCTAAGTTTGTTATGTCTGCATCTCTTGTGATCCTTTTCAACTGGAATTAATGAACAGATAAGGAAACAATTTCGATCACAAAATATTCAGTAATCCTCAGTCCTATGTAAATTTGTCTGAGTATATGCTAATCCTCTTTCCAAATTGTTAACGAATTACTTGAAAGCTCGTACTAAGTTGAAATTTGTACTGAAATGATTGTACTAAGCTAATATTATTGAGTTTCGAGTTGTTTTTAGTCCATACGGATTCCTCGAACTGTTAAAAATAAAGAGAACCTTCGCTAACCACTTGATAAACTTACGGGTAATATTATTTTTTTCTTCATTGCACTCTGAGAAGAAAATAATGTCTTGTGAGGACTGACTGGCTAATTAGCAGGAGTTCGTACAGAAGTAGAGAAAACCTCGACCTGAAAGATTCATCATCTAAATCAATCATGAAAAACTTTATCTAATATGAATTTATTGTATGCTGATCTTTTCTCATTAATATTGAACGTTAAGTAAAAAAATTTTGTTAAACTATATGAAAAATAAATGATTCATCATATTGTACTGGAGTCTTGAAGCGATGTTCTTCCGTATTTTGATTCTAGCATCACCATTTATTGGTGATAACAGGAAAGTTATTTTTCGGCAATGATCACCAAAAAAAGCTTGTTAGTGCAGCTCCAATGGAGCTAAAATGGGAAACACACATATATCATTCAAAATTTTTAACCTTATGCCTGATTTTTAAACTGCAAAATAGCCTTTTCAAAGTATTTATGAAAGCATTGATATATTATGTAGAATCGAAAGCCTTCTATGCGCGGTTGCTGAGGGGGAATCCATATCAATCTTGAACTTGAAATTTAGACACCCTATTTTCTTCAGATATATGTGTGTTCCGATACAGTTTCGAAGATCTATCTCTTTTTTTTAGTTGATCACTGATGGAAATACTCGATACATTTTGTATTTCGATGAAAGGTGATTTCTTTGAACAATATTTTGTTGATATGGTTAGGTGTAGTATCCCGATGAAAAATTTGCGCGATTTTTAATTGGATTTTTTCGCAACAAAATCAAAATTAAATTTGATTGATAATTTTGATTATTGTCAATCGGTATTTAACTATTACTTCATATTCTTACTTATTCAGTGTGGAAGATTCTGATTAAAATCGGATGATTTGGAAGCAAATATAGAGTTATTAATCGATTATCCTACATTATAATCTGATTTCAACTAGAAAACTTCACACTGAATATGTAACAATGTTAAGTGATAGCTCAGTTGCGATAAAAAATAATCAAAATTACCAATCGATTTCAATTTCGACTTTATTGCAGAAAAAATTGCAAAATTTTTTCATTATAATAGTGAATATAACCGAGAAAACTCTTTTCGGAGACTTTTCAATCATCCTATGTGTATACATATATATGTTAATATTCATTGGCGTATTATTACCAATTTTTAACTCATTAAATTTAAAATGCCATTATAAACTTCATCAAGCAGAAAGAAACTCTTACTATGGATTATCGACGTATAAAATTGTAGTAAATCGAAGCGAAAAGGAATGAGAAAAATTCGCCTTCTAGGTCAACGATTGTATAATAATTCTATTTCATCTTAGAAATACAATCTCTTCACTTAATGTACGAATGGAGTTTCGCATTAGTCTTAAAAGAAGTGATTCTAAATTAATAGTTTTTACTATATATTTTCTTTACTAATATCATCTTTTTCCTATCCTTTTTCGGTAAGAATACTTTTAATTGAAAAAATAAAATGTGAACTAATCTTGTTGAAGCCTATTTGCAGAGTCTTATAGTAGAATGAATAGTTTTTATCCATATAAAAATCTTAGCAAATTGAAAATAAAAAATTACAAGACAACACTAGGGAATTTTTTTCGGGAAATATGGAAGTTTGTTGGTAGATCATATGATTTAAATGTCTAAATGAAAACTAATTTGATTCGTTGCACTCTTTATAGTATATTCCGATTCAGTCTCTTTGACAGTTACTAATCGAATGCATCTTAACAAAACATGCAATGTGTACCATTCAGATTCAAAGGGTCTAACTCCTTTTTCTGGAATAGATATTCATAGGCACATCAATGATTGAATGGAAACAAAATATTGTGATGTAATATGTTTTGAACTAGTTTAGAAAGAGAACTTTTTGAAACTCTTCTATGAGAATATTAACTTCAATTGAACTCTGCGTTAGCTGATTTACGTTGTATTATAAATGTACTATACTTAATGTTAATTCATTTAGATTGACAATAAAGACTGTATGTCATATTCGTAACTAGTTTTTCTTCACCAAAATTGAATCCAATATACTAAAACTAATTAAATATGCCAGTGGAAGTTATTGTCGCAGGTTTACCTCGATCTGGTACATTATCAATGTGTGAGGCTCTTACTTGATTAGGCTATCACGAGACTATGCATATGGGTAAATTAGTTTTAAATCCTGCTCAAATGGCTGTTTGGACAGAAATCTACGGCAAACATTTGGAAAAAACATGAACTAGCCATGATTGGCGGCAGATGTTTAATCAACACTTTCCAGAATATGTCGCAATAACTGATGTACCGTTTTGTGATTTTGCAGTTGAAATTGCTCAAGCCTATCCTGAAGCCAAGGTATCTTTCTACATTCTTTCTTACTCACTTTTTTTCTTTACTTAGATTATTCTATTATATCGAGACTCTGAAAAATGGCTAACCTCATATCAACACTTAATGTCTCTATTTACTTATTCTAAGTTTGACGTCTTTCTAAGTCTTTTTGATAAGAAATTTTATACACGTCGTCAGCTTAGCAGATCTCGGACAACCTGGTGGCGAGATGTGTATAACTATTCCGATGCAGGTCAAGATGTCATGCCATTCTATTTGAACAAAATCAGACAAGCTATCGAACCAGAACGAATTTTGGAATTCAAGGTACAATATGGTTGGTGTCCACTGTGTTCATTTCTCAATAAAGATATTCCAGAAGAAAGTTTTCCCCGTCTCAACGATGCTGAAGCATTAGGTGAAAAATTACGTCGCAATAAGAAACAAGCTTTTACATCCTTGATTAGAGGCTTCAAGCAAATGGCGATAGGCACAATCATGTTGACCGTTATTGCTTTAATTTATCGACGACGATCTTTCTTTCTTCGCTCAAGCTGATAGCATGAAACTAGACCGTACTATTATCTTCAAACATTCGATATGACTAATTTAAAAGAATTTAATATATTGGCTAACTTACTTGAGTAAAAATCATTTTTAACAGAAATACACATCGGGAGTTATACTACGCGGGTGTGCATTTCGATATAGATAAAAAGAAAATGCATATCCGCAACCACAATCTTACAAGTACTTGCTTTTTAAGTTAGTGCACAAACAGTACTTATTATTAGTATTGAAAGGTAACCTTAAAAAATTATTATTAAAGAAATGTAAATACAGAGTGGCCCAAAAGTCATGTTACCGAGAAAAAAATTGAATATCTTCATTATAACTCATTCAAATAGACTCATTCTTTTACCAAGGATGGAGGCATGTTCACACTCCAAACCCATACAAATAAGGTTAGTGAGAACCCTTTTTAAGTATCACTTTAGACCTCAACAAAAAAATTTTACTTCGTCACATATGGAAAAAACAAAACAATATATCTAAAAAAGGCTCTCATCAATCTTGTCCGTATGGATTT